GTATGTTGACTTATCTTCCGAATGTTCTCATACTTCTTATTTGAATTCGAATCTTCCCCATGAAATGGATATTTTCAACCGATTGTAAGATGCACATCAGAATTAAGTTCAAGATTATGCTCACTGTTAAAATTATAGTATTATATAAAATATAACATATATTATAAAAACCGCAACTTACTTACATAATGTGACACGACTCGATAACCCAGATGGCAGAAAAAAGAAATTTTTATTTTTTTTTCATGCCTTTTTGTATTCTGTAATGATAATAATAACAAAAAGCTAAAATAGAGAAATACAGAATAAATAAATGAAAAAAAAATAACACAACACAAGAATTTTCGGGGAGTCTCGTGTTACAGATTTCGGAATTTTGATTTATGTCTTTGTTTTCAAGTTTAAAAGATATCTTATCTTGTCTAATCTGGGCCACATTTTAAAAGCCGTTCACTACACATTCTTTAGATTTGCGTCAGGCATTGTGCATTGAAGTTTTGGATTTTTTTAACTTTCTTATACTTAACTTTGGTTTTACTTTGTGTCTTAGATTATTTAAATTTTTTTATTGTAGTGCCTGATGTGTGGTTGATGATTTTGTTGGAATAAAATGTTAGTTTCCCTCTCTGCCTATTCATTAGATTTATTATATATTTATTGTTAATTAAGTGTTATTTACTTACTTAGCACTAGTTAATTTTGAATGTTGTATTGTTAATCTATCTATCTGTACAGGGTGGCCACATCTTTATTATTGGGATTGTAAAATGTGTTAAATGGAATAGAATTTGTGAAACACTTCGAACACTCGAAGTGTTTTCGGAGCGCGAGCATTGAAGATGCCAAGTGAGATTTTGGCGAAACGTCTGCAGGATTCCAGTCGGAGTTCAACGAGCGAACGGATGATATCCCGGAATATAGTGTCATCATATATATATATATATATATATATATATATATATATATATATATATATATATATATATATATATATATATATATATATACATGTCTATTAATTTCAAATGTAATTTATCAAATTGTATGTTATTTAATTAGCACAAGTCAATTTTTAATGCTGTACTGGCTACAAAATGACTTTTAAGGAAACAATGTATATTGTTATAAGATATCTTCAAAACAAACTTATCTATCTATCTATCTATTTTTATTGGGATTGTATGGGTAACTTTTAAAACGTTAATGATTACAAGGTCGGTTAAATAGAAAAAATGTATATTGCCCTGAAGGTACCAAATTTCAGTCATCAAAGCACATTCATGTCCAATTTCACAAAAAGAAAGTGATACAAAAGTTGTTGGGTGCAAAATGAGATTCTTCGGTGTCCATTTGTTTTGTCAATTTTAAACTACAGTCAACATTAAATTTTTATGAATTTCATAATCAGTACTTCATGTCTATTGTTGTTCCTTTTCAAGAAGATAACTGCCGGCATTCGGAATTTTGAGTTAAAACCTGTCGAAATGGTTCGAGATTGGGGAAAACGGTTTGCACTTTTCGATCTTACTTTTGTATGTACTCTTGAATTCCACAAAGGTTATTTCTTGTTTGAGAAACTTTCATCTAAAACCCCAGTATCTTTAATTTTTTTAAACTTACTTTCACAATCCTGTTGAAAAAGTGATGAACCAAAGGTTTAAGAAAAAATTATAAATAATCAGTTGTCAGAACACGTGGAGAAAAATCAGGTTCTTCCCGAAAATCAATCTGGATTTAGGCAGTATCACGAATGTTCCCTACAGGGGCAGGTAAAGTCACAGTTTTAACACTATTAGATTTTTCATAAGCGTTCGACACAATAAATTACAAAACAGTTGGCAGTTCTGCACTAATATTGGGTTAAGTGGTCAGGTTATACAATTTTTTGAAATTTTTTTAAGTAAAGGAACACAGCGTGTTAAGATTGGTGAAACGGTGTCCGAAGAGATACCATTGAATTGTGGGGTACCACAGGGGTCCGTTATTAGCTCCCTGTATGCTATTTACACTTTTAATATTCACAAAGTACTCGATCACTGTAGCTTCCACTGTGCGGATGATACTCAAGTATATCTGTCATGCCATAAAGATAATCTGTCCCAATCTTGTCGAGCAATAAGCAGTGATCTGGAAAATCTAGAAACAATCTATTTAAAGTATTCCCTATTTCTCAGCCCAAAGAAATGTTGTTTAATGATTTTTGGTCCAAAAAATGACGTTTTTAATATAAAAAATTGTATTCAAGGCGCATACTTAAGATTAAAGCTTTTATATAGAAGTCGCCATGCACTGTCAGTATAAATGAAAAAAATGTTGTGTGACTCGCTTGTACTCTCCATATTCAATCACTTGTTTAACGGCGGTTCAAAAAAACAAAATACAAAAAGTGCAAAATTCTTGTCTTCGTCTGATTAAGGATGCCAATTGGTTGAATATGGAGTGTAGGAGAGAGAGGCATTTAGTTTGTTTTTATAATCTAATTTCGTTTTTTAAATCTCCATCTAAATATCTGCATAATAAAATTATATTTAGATCCCATGTACATAATATAAATATTCGATTTAGAGGATTGATAACACCACCTCGTCACAGATCGTCCTTTTTTGAAAGAAGTTTTACTTATAACATAGTGAAGCTATATAACTCACTCCCTAGTCATTTTAAATCTTTTTCTGCACCAAATTTTAAACGGCACATTTTTCAGTATTATTTTAACAAATCCTACATTAATTAATGATTAATATCACCTGTTGCAGAGTAAAAAAATTACATATTGGTTTTTATGTGCTGTGCCAAATGTTATATTTCCCATATTAAGTTTACGGTTGAGTGGAGTAGGGTGGTCTGGTCACCTGTGGCTAGTTCATCACTGAACTTCACCGATTTCTGCATTGTATATGTTCCGTTTGCTGCTAGAATACATTGTTCATATATTGCTGAGACAAAGTGTATGATGTGGAAATAAGAACATTATTATTATTATTATTATTATTATTATTATTATTATGTGTATGATTTAAAAAAAAACTTATTCACTGACTGACTTTTTCAACTTCTTGAACATTTTGCATAATCGACTTTCTTTCCGAAGAACAAAACCCTTTATTGCTAGTCAAAGAGGATATTGTTTTCGTCGAGAATAAGTGTTTAAGGTTGTCTTCGCGACGCCCCTGGTGTGTTTCGTATTCATTATTTTCGTCGACAACACTGTCAAATATCAACAGTGCGATTATAATAATATCGATATATGTTAATTTTATCATGATTTCAGAAATGAATTTAATTAGACCGATTGAGTGCCGTCGTTCAGAGTGGCTTATAAGCATTTCCCTTCTTCAATTTACGAATGCCTTGTTCTCAGTTTTTTGGTTTATTAGGGTTAACGTTTTCAACGCAAATAAACCACATTTAACACGTCACTGATTTGACGTGGAATTAGGGTTCCCACAGTCCCTTCGATCTATAACCAAACCCTATTCCGCGAACATATATAAAATATATTTTTGACGATAATTGAATATAACTCGACGACAAATTCGGTTTTGTTGACAACGGATAATGGAATTTTCGGACTAAATTTTCACTGGCAATGCGCGATTTTGACAAAAAAACGCGCGGAGCTTTTACAGAAAAAGATCGTGGATAGAGATGGAATCGTCCTCGACTTTCCCAACTGGATCTGGATGATGCCGCCTTTAGCAGATATCTGGACGGACTCGTCCGACAATGCATTGCCGGTTTTGCTAAGCGGGATTGATTTATCTGCAATTAACAGATGACGGGATCCAAATTGAAACGTTTTGGAACATGATTAATATACACCAGGTGGTCCTTAATAAACTTATTAAAGTAAAAAAAGTGTGATAAAGTCTATATCTAAGCTCGAATTTGCTTTTAAAGCCTGAGCGAAAATTTCTTTATTTCGGTAATCAACATAATATACAAATATTACAATTTACAGAGTATATATAAGTATTCCATTACTATTTCCACATAATAATTAAAAAAACCTTAAAAAAATAATTCAGCACACAACAAAAGAAAAAGAGCAGGTAACAACAATATGATTAATTATTATAGGAATGCTACTGGAGAGGACCTAATCTGACCACAACCTAATGGTTAATGATATATGGATTCATAGAATAACATCAAGGTGGAATCATGAAAAAACATCAATAGCTACTTTTCTAGTAGAATTAAGACTTGTTTGAAATATGGCTATGTGGCTAAAGGAGTGATTTCGTTTCTTTTGCATTTGATGGAATTGACCCCGCTCTTAGTACCATTATTATTACTAACTTGTGTTCGATTTGTTGACTCATTTGTGAAGGTTATTATTTTTTGAGTCAATAGGGTCTAATTAGATAGTGAGATCTTGCGAAGTCAATAATCGACAGATTTATATTAAAAATATCTTATAACAATTTACAGTGTTTTTTTAAAAATCATTTTTGTACCCATAACATAAAAAAAGAAACTTATTTTAGGTAAATAATAATAATAATAACAATAATAATAATAATCTAATCGTACACCTGAATGTGTTTTTTGTAATAGTATTACTTCCGTAATGTGTTATTATTCCTGTCCATTTTAGTTTTAAAGATTAAAATAATAATAATAAATAGCTTTCTTGCTTTAATCGTCAATAACACAAAAATTACATTCCAAATTAAATTTGATTAGTTTTGGCAAAGGCAGACATTTGGAACTGCCAGAAACTGTCAATGCCCAAAATAAAATTAACAGACACAGAGAAACAGACAACGCTTAGAGTCGGAGTGGGAGGGTATTAAGGCCAAGGAAGCATCTAAGTAAAGTTTTGATTACAAAGAAACGAAAAGGAAATCTTGCATTTTGCTTACCCAAAAGCAAACTTTTAGACTTATTTCTCAGGGTCAATAGCGTCAGAGAAAAGACTATTAAGGAGACATATTGATTAATAATATTAACAATTTGGTTTGAGAAAACCCCTTTTAAATACTCTAGCCTAGAAA